CTCTCTCAGGAGTGTCCTCTCTCTCTCAGGAGTGTCCTCTCTCAGGAGTGTCCTCTCTTGCACTACCACGGCTGCACTGAGATCACAATCCAATGCAGAGCATTTGCCTTCGTGGGGAAGAGTCCAAGTCACATGGGCCAGAGAGCAGGGGTAGGTGGATGAGGGGACACTGATGTCCTTGAAAGCCTGCCTTTCTGTTGGGTGGACTCAGCGGCAGCACTGACCATATTTTGGAGCACACCTCATGAAGACACGAAAGAGGACTTCCAGATCGGATAGAAAAGATGTGGCACGTTTACACAGTAGAGTATTACTCAGCTATGAGAACGATAGATTTGAGGCTTTTGGAGGTGAATGGATGCAAGGAGAGCCTGCATGGGCAAGTGGAATGAATCAGGTCCACACGTGTAAGCACTGTGTTATCCCGCTAGTGTGAGAGCCTGCAAGAGTAGATAAAATCTGATAGGTACAATGGATGCCAGGAGAAGGAAAGGATCTGTTCAATGGGAAGGAAGATCTAGGACAAGGAAAAGGACGAAAGAAGGGGAAAGATGTCTTCACATACACATGCAGGACAGCTTGGAGAAGTGCGCTGCTGATTTTGGCTGGTCTATTGGAAGGAGCAGTTAATGCCTAAACGTTCCCCAGGCACGCTGAGCACATCCTGGAAAAGCAAGCTCGCGTCCTCAGGGACCAGGGACTGTACCAGGGTGGTCCTGGGTGCTGGCTGTATGTGACTTCTTTCCTACTACTCCTACTCTCAGGTCTTCGGTGTTGTATGGAATAGCATGCAACATTTACCGAAAATTTTCTGGAAAATGAATTTCATTTCTAAAATGCCTTTTAGAAAGGCACAGTGAGCTCTAGCAAATGTGAGCCTGGGAACCCCAACGCCGAGCACAACAGTGCGTGTGGGGCTGTCCGGCGGCTCACCCCTTCCTTGGGGTCTGCCGGACAAAGGGGCCCTGACGTGTGCAGGCACGGTCTGTCCCCAGACACAAGCACAGCTGGGTGCGACAGGCCGCACACCAGGGACTGGCCCAACACAGTCTTTTTTGTGAGGACCTTGGTCCTTTCTGAGAGGCAGCTGTGCCGCAGCCGAGGCAGCCATCAACATCATTTCTGTTTCCTGGCCTTCAAAGGTGGCAAGAAGTTAGATTCAGAGTCTCCTGGCAAAGATTAATGAAGACCCTGATCCAGCTCCCCGAGCCCACCTGATGCCCCATCTCATGTGCTCCAGACGGAGCCAAACTTCCCTCTGCACCCCCAAAGGGCTGCCCTCTCCCCTTCACCAGCCTCCACCACCTGCCCCTTCTTTAGCAGGAGTTTACACAAGAGTCCAACTCTGCTTAAGGCCTCCAACCAGCATCTGTGGGCAAACTGCAGACGGCAGGGGAGCTGCCTGCACCTCCGGCCGGAACCCCAGTGCCCGTCCCTCTGTGCCTGGACTCCAGCTGCAGGGCGTTGCTCCCCTCGCGCCCTGGTGCATGGTCTTCCCTGCAGGTGTGCACTGCAAGGGAGCCATCTGCTGCCACCTCCCACGCCCCACCCCCAGCCCCGGGAGCATAACACAGGCCAGTGGCTCCAGACCATTGTGGGGTGTGTAGGTGGGTGATGCGGCAAGAGAAGAGGGCAAGACGGGGAGCCCTCCTCCCTGTGACGACGGCCTCCTGGCCTGGACCCTGGCATTTGCCTACCGCAAGGTGGGCAGCAGCGGCAGCCATGGCTGTGGCCATCCACACCATACCCTGGAGCCCATCCTTCCCTGAAACCTGTGCCCTGGTCCCCATCCAGCCTACTGCATGGCAGCCCAGGGCTAGGCCAGCCTCTGGGATTAAGCCCCTCCTCCTGCCTGTGTCTCCGGCACAGTCACAGCTCTATTCCCCACCATACTCCTAAATTTTTGTGACTCTTCTTTGCATGAATACATTCTGGAGCCACTATGGAATAACTGTGGGGAGCCTAGCACCCCAAAATTTGATTGCAATGGTTATTTGCCCTTAAAGCTACTGTCACTGGTCATTTCAATTGCAGAAAACAGGCTAGGGTTTAGCTCAGTGATACCACAGCACAAAACAGAAAGAAAAAAGGAGAGGAGGAGGGAAGGCTCCATGGGGAGGGAAAGTCAGGGGCTGAGCACAGAGAGTTAAAGGGCCTGGGTGAGGTTTCTGGCAAATAAAGACTTAAACCCTGGGGTGGGACGGGGCAAGAAAAACAGATAGAGAGATGAGAAGACCACCTGGCCGGCTGGCTGTGCCGCCCCAGGCTCAATTCCACCTCCAGTTAAGCACAGTGGGGAGGCGCTGATGTTATTCAAATACTCAGTTACTACATAGAGTGCATACTGCCCCCGACACTCCCACACC